AACAAGTCAACTTCCAGCTGTTTAATGTCTAGTGTTCAATTGCATTATCTCCATCTATTTAATATTTTCTCATATCAGTAACCAACAACTAAATTTTCTTTTTTTTTCTTTTCTAGTTTACCCCAAAAGCCATAGTGATTAGTTAACCAATCTTTCGTTTAATAGACATTGTTCCATGTAAATTTGATTATCTCCTAAGTCAGATTAAAATATAATTCTGATTTCCTCCTGTGTCAGATCAAGAAAAACCATGTGGAAAATAAAAAAGAGAGAAAAATGCTACAGAGACCTCTTTAGCTTCCCAACATGTGAAAACTGTGGTTGTCATTTTCAGCACTAGAGAAGCCATATGCAAGCAATCCTTTACGGCAATGGTTTTTCACTTTCTCTTGGTCCAATGTAAGACTACGTCAAAGCATTCACAGCCCTGGGTTTTCCACATGTGAAAAACTAGAGCAATCTCTGTGACAAGATTTCTTCTTAAAAAGCTAACTTGCCAACAAATACCTACGTTGTTAAATGCAGAACCATATATTGAAATGCAAATTTCCATGGCTGGAGAGTGTTCAACTCATGTCTTTAGATGACCATCAGATTCTAAAACACAAAATGACAAAGCTGAAGAACAGGGCTTGGGACTTGAGAGATGTTAAATCAAACCTAATTATTGTCCTGTTCCATGCTTCCATATCTGTGATGGTTGCACTCGATAGAAGTAAAGGGAGAAAATGAGTATTAAACAAATAAAATTTCAACTGAACGGAAAGGCTTATATGACCAAGTCAATAACACAACAGAGCCAATGTTGTCCTGGCCCGGTCGGACCCGAGAGATGGTGAAATATCCAGGCCAGTCTATGTTGACAGACATACCTAACTAGCCTCCATCAAAAGAGAGAATTGGAAAATGACACCAGAAATGAAATCAGTGAGTGACCCCAAAAACCAGTGTTGTTGCTAAGGCATTAATGAAAAACACCCTACTGAATTACTATGAAACACAAGATAACGTTTGGAACCGGAGCCTTTGATAACATCTAATTGAAAAGGGTAAATTACAGATTGACACCCTGCACTTAAGGGGCGGTGACACTTACGCCATGTTTGATTCTGATGTAGGGTGGCCCAGCCCAGCCCAGCCCATTCTAGTCTGGGAGGCCCAGCCCATGAATGCCAGAACCAGGGACGCGACTAGCCACAAGAGGGGGTACCCTACACCCCTCGCACGGAGCCAATCGTGGAGCGCCCATGCGTCCCTACAGTGTTTGTTGACTGCCCTCGTATGGCTCCCATCTCATGCATTCATCTCCATCAACCTCCAGGTGGCTCAAGTATAAATAGGGGGTACCCCCCTCCAGGTGAGGGATCCTAATCCTAAAATCTGATCCTACCACAAAATTTGAGTATCCTTACATTGGGAACTTAATATCTACGGGTAGCTTCCTTAGAGCCTTCATCTATACTTAGTTCCCCTCTTCGTACCCTCATACTGTCTTAACCGTCAGAGTCTCCGCCTCGGGTTCTTACCTGGGGCCTCTGACATCCTTTGTCTTGCAGCACCTTAGCTACCAGCCCTCGGTTTCCCTAGGGCTCGGCATACGAATAGCCTCAACCTCAGCATCTCATCCCCGAATCCTCGAAGCCTTCGGCCCACCTCCAAAGCCTAGGGGCAAAATTACCTTATTGTCCTCGGCCCACCTCCAGAGCCTAGGGGCGAAATTCATTTTTCTTAAAAATGAATTCTTTTAAGACTAACAAGGGACAAGAATAGGTAAAAATAGGCAAAATGAAAAAATATTGGTATGAATCAAACACTTTTTTCCTAAAAATGAATTCTTTTAAGACTGACAAGTGTCCTATGTAAAAGTACTTTTGTAAAAATGCTTTCATAAAAATATTTTGATAAAAGTACTTTCATAAAAGTGTTTTTGCAAATGTGCTTTTATAAAAATACTTTTATGAAAGTGCTTTAACAAAAGTACTTTCATAAGTGATTTTATAAAATTACTTTTGTAAAAGCACTTTTATAAAAGTGCTTTTACAAAAATGGTTTCATAAAAGTACTTTTATAAAAGTTCTTTCATAACAATACTTAATAAAAGTGCTTTCGTAAAAATACTTCCATGGTAGTATGCTAGTAAACATCTATGGTAGCAGTTTTGTAGGTGAAATTGAGCAAAATGGGGCATATTAGTTTTTAGGAAAAATTCCCGATTAATACTCTATACTTTGGGTCTAGTGTCACTTTGGTCCCCAAACTTTAAAATGCAACAATCCAATGCCCAAACTTTCAAAATGTGACAATCTAGTACCTATGTTAACTAACTGTTAATCAGCCGTTAAGTGACATTTTAAAAAGGCACAAATGCTATTCAAGTGCCATCTAATTTTCTTTATCAACTATCCAAACATTGATAAAAAAAACAAATAATAATAAGTCTTAAATCCTTGCCTCTTCTATTCAAGAAAGTTGGGGTCACTAGAATGCCCACTTAAACGAAACCCCAACTTTCTTGAATGAAAGAAACAAGAATTTGGAACTTATAATATTTTTTCAACGTTTAGATGGTTGATAAATAAAATTAAATGACACTCAAAGGGCATTTGTGTCCTTTTCAAATGTCACATAACAACAGGTTTACTGCTAATTAATGGCATGTACTGGATTGTCACATTTTGAAAACTCAGATACTGAATTATTGCATTTTAAAATTTGGGGACCAAAGTGGCACTAGACGCAAAATACAGGGTACTAATCAGGAATTTGCCCTAGTTTTTATGCTGTAGGCTACCGTAATTTTTGTGTTATGGGCTGATTTTTCATTCTAAAAAGAATATGGCCCATGGTAAGAATTTTGTAACCAAACACTATGTTATTCATTCTTGCCCGGAATAATTAAGAATTAAAAGAATGAAGCCTAAAACTATGAACAAAACATGACCTTAGCCTCCCGAAATCTCTCTGAACTTTGCCCCTTTCTCCTTACACCATATGTAACAGGGTTGACAATGAAGATAAAATTACTAAATTGAGCATTCGAGATATGATGGGCTGGGGGCGAAAGCAATCTAAATGACAAAAATGAGGCAATTGACATGCCTTGGACTGGGTTCTGTACTTCCAAGCCCTTACGAAAAAAGAAAACAAGTTCAGATTTGAGTGTTTGGAAGAACCAAAACCCAATCCAAAATAGATATTGCGTTTCAGCATTCCCATTGCCATCATATTGATGGCTTCTACTCTTAACCCATTGAATCTTTAATGGGCAATTTAGTAATTTTACCTTATGTCACTCTAGATCAGAACAGGGGGCGGAAACTAAGTGCTTGAAGTGTCACCCCCTCCCCCAAAGTAAAGGGTGGCAGTATGTAATTTACCCAATTCAAAAATTCGGACACCGTTGGCAAACTGATCAGTTTTTTTGTAACAATGTGGACTTGACGTTTCCTAGGGGTCGGAAGTTTCTTGCGGCTTTTCAAGCTCAAGTAGATCAAGTTCTTGCCATGCTGGTTCATTTTCTTACACATTAGTGCATTATATCAAAATGATTTACAGATTTCTTGACTGTCCTTCACTTATTGAGGGTGGAGGAGAATGTCCGTTTTTTTTTTTTTTTTTTTAAGCAAAACCAAACCAAACCCACATCGGGCTCCACCCTCTACAGTCTACAAGTCATAATCTTGGACTCATAATTGCCTTCTTCATTTCATATAAAAGTTGAAATTTTACTTCTATAGCTTTATTTTTAGGGTGGGGGAGGAAGGTAGGGGTAATGGTAGGCAAGCGGATGGAAAAAGAGACTTCAAAGGGACAAGCTATAAACATGTTTGGAAAGCGTTTTTGTTCTGTTTTATCTTTATTATTAGCTCATAGCTTAGAAAACGATTAAACCCTTAATAACATCATGTGGAAGGACTATCCATGGGAAAAGTGCAACATAATACATGTTGTATGAAGTAACGTGGAAAGAGCATCCCCCATCAGATGAGTGGTCTGGATTTTCTTTGTCGTCTCTCCACAGAACGTAGACCCTTTGGCTGCTGGTATAGAGTCCGATTCAAAAGATTGGTCGGTTGACAGAATCAGAGTAGGCCATCATGGATTGTTTTTGTTTGCACAGGAGTGGGAACAAGACCTGGCCAGCTGGGGGAAGCACAACCACGGATGCTAGTTTGACCCTGTTACGCGTTTTAACTTTTAAGCTTCTTTTAAAGAATGGCCTCAAATCAGATTGATTAGTAGTGCCCTCAACGCTGAACAATCTTAATCTCGTAGAGGAATTTGGGTATTTGTTTGTTTTTGGAAACTTCAACCCTTGATTGGTGTTTCATCAAATTCAAAATCAGAAGCAAACAAAAGGGGGCCTTGCCAAGTGAGTCAAGACTCAAGAGAAGAGAACCACCTTTTCCTTTTGGAGTTCCGACCTACATTTTCAGTTTTTAATGCTCTACTCACCACACCCACAAAGAGCCCTTTCAAGTTTCAGCTTCCCCCCTCAGAGACTACTTCAAGGTTCAAACAGCCATGAAATTGAAAGCTAAGAGAAAGGAACCCTTCCATTTAGACTAGCCGGGCGAGGGCAGACAGCTTTGGAACCAAAACAGTGACGCATCAGGTTCTGCCACTCCATATTTGGGCCACCATGTGGCTGGGTGATTAAAATAAGAGGGAAAAAAATTAGTGCAATAGACCACAATTTTACTTGGCCAAAGGAGATATGCGGTCCCTTCAAAGAAACAGGGTTTTTGTTTTTCTGTCTTTTTCAACGAGGGGTACGTGTTTTCGTCACATTCGCCCGTCCCATGCCACATCAGACTCTGATTTATCCCTTGGTGTAATGTTGACCTCACTGCATGCCTCACTCATTCACATGCCTCACACATCAGACTCCGTCCCATGCCACATGCCTCACACATCCAAATAAAAATGTCATTTCCTGTACATCATCCACCTTTCAACTAATATAAATTATATACATGTATTATTGCATATAGGAATGATGACGGTGAGATCTGAGAACAGCATTTAATATAGAAAATCAATGTGGCATATCAGGGACCTAGATGGTGTCCATATGTTCTAGTCTAAGTAATTTAAATTCCAATATAAAACCAATGAATGACACAAGGAGCATGCTAATATTGGGGGATTTCAGACATTCTATACTCTATAAATGGCAGATGAAGAAATTCCAAAAGGTCCAAGACCTAAGAACATGACATGTATCAACTCTAGAAGTACATTCTGCCAAATGCACAATCCCATTAACATTCAATATGTCCTCCATATGGGCAAATAATCGATATAGATATGGGCAACAAAAGGAGAACCAATCATTCAAATCATCCTTTGATCTTGTCTGAAAGAACTTCTGTCCTGTAGCTGGGGACAAGGAAAGACACACTGCTTGCTATCCAGTAGGCATGCCTGGACATCTTTTGGTGGGCAAGTGATGGACGTAGTTTGTAGGATAGGCAGTGGAGACAAGTTTTGGACCAAGGTCTGGGCCATCGACCAACACTGTGAAGTTTACCAATTGAGTTAGCTGGCATCTTCAAGACTTCAACAAGCATGCGAACACTAGTGCTGAGCATGGACTAAACAGAGAATAATGCATCTATTCGCTTATGGCAGGACAAGAACAAACAGATTGGTTGCCATCCTAGCCATCCAGGATGTATGGCCACATGTTTTCCTTCAGTGGGCAGGCGGCTGTAGTAAGTAGGTTAGTAGATTAGTCAGTGAAGACAGTTTCGGGCCCAGGTTTGTAGCATCAACCAACATTCATGGATTATACCAACCAGGCTAGCTCGCATCTTCAGTAAGCCTGTCAACACTGATGTTGAACATGGGCTCAGTAATGTACAGTCTTCACCAGCCATCTGCTCGCAGCAGGACAGGAAGCATTGGCCTACCATTTCCCTTGTGCTTGTATAAAATTTAGCATGATCAGGCACCGCTCACATGCACGGAATGGAATATAAATGGACATGTTTATGCTTGCCATAGACCAAAACCAAAACATGCACAGAAATGGAGCCATAAGTGAACATGTTTTGTGTACCATTGACAGACCAAAACCAAAACCAAAACACAAAGGGAGAATAATACGAATTTGCCACATTGCACATGTTGCAGAGTATACCAACCCATACCTTCAAATCTTTCTATGTATCTTAGCCAACTGACCCATTTCAATTGTCTAGCTGATCTTCCTAGGCATCAGAAAAGCAAGGACCCATCATTGTCATTTAGGACACAGTGAAATGGGGCTTCCATACTACAATGTAAACCTTAGGAAAGAAAATAACATATGGAAATGATAATATGAAGAAATCAAAGTTGCTAGTTGGTACATAAAAGAACTTGTGAAACCAGACTGTCAATAATCCTTGTTATTCTAAATATTCAACTCAATTAAGCCTTGTCCCAACTGTATGGGCTCGGCAGCATGAATCCTATTCCCTCATTCCACTCTGTTAAGTGCCATATACATAATATTTGGGAATGAGAATATGAATAATTCTTTGTTACTCTAAATCGTTGAGGTTAATACAATCACAGAAGAATGTCAACAAATATGACAGCCCCATATGCCTGTTTCTATAATCTCATGTGTTAGCCGTAAAACTCAAGGCACTGTAGGAGTTCCTACTAAGAGGTACATCATCTTAGTGCTGTCAATGGGTTGGGTTGGGTCTGGGTCAGGGTAGATCAGGTCATTAGCTCACAGCTTAGTAGTGGCCTACCCAACCCATTGTCAGCTCTACATCATTCTGTTACCTGATACTCGATGAATGCTGGGTCCCACATTAAACCGTATCCAGTGATGGGCCATTTAGAGGTTGCCCTTACAGCCCAGTAGTAGCCTATGACTTTAAAATCCAGTGGTGAATACTTAAATGATGATATTAAATAGTCAGGTCAGTAGCTCTTAATAAATAATGCTCAACTGTTGAGTACAGCTTGATTGTTTTCTTGTATCAATCTTATAAACTGAATATAAATTTCTAGAACTCAAAATTAGAGAAACAAACACTACAATCTCAATATCATAATCTAATTTGCTCCACACAGACGCTTTCTTTTCAAGATAAAGGAAAATGGAAGAGGAAATTGCCTCAGAAAATAAGTACCCTTATGGTTCTCACAAGCTTACCAAATGCTCCACAAATTGTTTTGGAGAAAATCACCTTATACATTTTCAAGTGTTGGAGAGTGCAAGGAATTATGTGCAGGCTTGGCAATCTGATTCATGTTTCTAAACATAAATCCAGATTTATGTTTACTATTAGACAGTGTATGCCCTTAGCTCCAATCAGATTGATGTACAGATACATTTATTGTAAATGAATAAAAGTACATTATTGTTTCATGTTAACATTGGTATGTTTCTGTGAATTTACCCCTTACACTGGACACTTATGAGAATCATGTTAGTTTAGAATGTTCCCAGCCGTTTGATAGACTTGGGGAGTTTATCTTGCCAAGGCTGACACTGATATGCTGCCAAAGAAGTTGGGGCAGCTTGTCTCAGCTACTAGATTGAGACTTGAAGCACGTGGTTTGTGTTTGGTTAGAACACTGAACCCGGACCATTTTCCACTTATGCCCTGGACCTTGGAGATTGATGGGCAAAAATGGAAAGTTACACATAACCCCTAACCCGGGTATATTGGGGCAATCTGAGAATTCATTTGAGTGGGTGATCATAGTGATAGGATCGGCCCCTTTGTCGGACAAAGTGAATGATAGGGTTTACACTCTCTCTGATGGAAACCTAAATTGTCGGCAGTGGATTTCAACTGTGTTTGAGATTTGGTTTTGCAAAATATATTTATATGATATATATACATATATGTATATATATATAATGTTTTACGAAAAATGTTTGCAAAAGGTTTTAATTCCCGAGATCCATCCGAGCAGAGAGTGTGACACTACACCTTGCAGCCAGGGGAGAGGCCCTTCCCTGTCGGGCAATGTTTAATCATTATGGGCTGAGAGGTTAAGTGTAAGAGACCATTAAGGGCTGATTACCTGATGGGCTTTATCTTACTTAAGTCCATTATCCTTGGGTTTTCATAGGATGGCTGGATTCAAGGATCATTTAACTATAAATGTTGGGCCCATTTTGAGCCCATAGTGATGTGCTCAGGGGTTCACTGTGTTTAGCAGTGAAGTCGGCCAGGCCTTTTCATAAAGGTTGGGCCAAACCCATGTGGGCTTATGTGAGGTCATTGTGGGGTCCCACGCCATACAAATCAAACCTAAATTGGCCAAACAACACTTTTGGGTTGTGAGGCATATAGCTGATGAGCCTAAAGCCCATAATTAATATGTGGGGCGAATCTGGGCTTGGAAATGGGTATGGAGCAACTATCCTTTTAAGAGGATAAGTCTTATCTCTTAATAGAGTCCAAATCCAAATAAAGATTTGGATAATCTCCAAATTTGATTAGGAGAAGTGCTCCATAAAGAGATAAAAGAAGAAGAGGGCGAATTGCGCTAGAACACCAGTTAATTCTACACTCTCTTCTTTTTCTCTTATTTCCCAAGAAACCCTAGTTTGACCACAACTTTGGGACTGATAAAGATCAGTTCTTTCTCTCTAATTTTTGCAAAAAAAAATTAGAGAAAATCCGTGCTCACCTCCCCAGTTCGATCCAAGCAGTTGGGTTGCAGTTTTGTTGAAAACTATGTTGTTGAACCGGCTTCAACATCAAGCTATGCCATCTTCAGTGAAAGTTGGTTTTAGGGACTAATTTGGGCGAGAACTTCCACCTTGGGATCTACACTTGTGGTATCCATATCAGGTATACATCTCCCTCTTGGTTTGAGTAGGAATCTGCTGAATTAAAAAAATATGAAAGAAAGTAGTTTCTTGAAGAGAGAAGGAAGAGAGAAGGAGAAGAAGAGAAATTGAAAAGAAAAGAGAGCAATTAATCTGGACGCCCCCTTCACTTATTATTTATACTAAAATAATAGAACAGTACAAAGACAACTATGCCCTTATAGRGYRGCAAAACATAAARCARYATATATAACACTCAAAAAACATAATAAAATTTGGACTCACATAAGGTCCCCACCTCCTATCTAACAACTAACATAAAACATCTACT